ATGGGGTAGAGGTGGACCCGGTCGGTGACATTGTACAGCCTCAGGGCCAGGTGGCCGGAGTAGAGGAATCCCCCTCCCCCAGCATAGGGTGGGTAGACACCAGAGTAAACAACTTCCGGGATGTAGTACTTCAGTTTCTTATCCCGGTGGGGTCCAGCATTGTGGATCACATCACCTATGAACAAATCTTTGGCTTTGTTCTTAGATAAGCTATTCAAGTAATTCAGGATGTGATGGGTGTTCACAAACACATCATCATCGCCCTTGAAGATGAACTCAGCGTCTGGACAGGAAGTACTTACCCACCTGAGAAACAGCACTTCCTTCAGAGACAAGTTGAAGAAAGTGTCTCTGTAGCTCCACATAAGAATGTCTTGGTGCTTCTCACTCTCAAATTTCAGCATATCTGAAAGGTCAGGATGGTTGTCTTCTGGGGGAGTCTGGCCCAGTAAGAAGACGCGCACCACTGTTTGGTTTCCCACGTTGCTTTCTTTGCCCCAGGACTCCCTAATTGCTTGCCTCCTGGCAAAATGTGCAGTGAGGGACTTAATCGCCAGCAGTAAGAATGGTTTCTTTGCACACTTATGCGGCTGATCTATAAGCACTGAATAGTTGCGGCATCTCAAATACAGCAGAAAGTCTTTAAATCTGTCCGGCAGATTGTTAAAACCTGTAACAACGGACGTGACCCTCTGGTCAGGTTCACAGTAATTCAGATGGCTTATGTTGGAAAATCCATACACTTCCCCTGTCTGGTTGGGCAACATGCTCAAGATGGGATTGTACTGCCTGTTCAGCTTCTCTTGTTCTCTGTTCCAGTATGCCTGGGGAGGGGTAGATATCTTCCAGAACTTCTCTTTGGGTATTATTACTTCTCCTTTTCCATTTTTTTCTTGGCTACTGCTTTTGGAGACTTCCACAATCAAATAAATGAAGACATTTGCCATCATCAGGATACCCAACAATTTTATTCTTCGACGTCCAACACTCATTTCTCATATCTGGAATGAAAGGTGTGAGTATGACACTGATTAGATATTAATTTACATTTGCACACACACTTGGATTTACTTCACTTGCCTCTTTGTTTCCCCAAGAATAGTGATTTAGAGCACAGAATCTAGACTTGCACTACCCTAGGTTCAAATTATGGCCCTTTCTTTCAGCTTTATGATCTTGGTTGGGCAAGTGGTATTACTCATATCTCAGCTTTTCCATCTATAAAATGGGCATAATAATGTATTTCATAGGATGGTTGTGAGGAATATATGATTTCATATGGAAAACTTTTAAAATAGTGCTTAGCCAGTACCAAGTATTATGAAAGTGATTAACATTCTGCTGGTATCTCAGACATAGAACTATAAATACATGTTCCATGTCTGTCATTCTACATTTCTGTTGTTTCATTTTTTTAAAAATAGTGGTCCCAACCCTGAACGATTTCCCAACTTCCCATTTTACAGGTGAAGAAACTGAGGCAGAGAGATTAAGATGCTTGCTCTGGATTGCAAGGCTAAGAAATAAAGGAGATGATAACCACAAAGCATATCCAGAGAGATAAAATGAAAAGGCGGCTCGCAACAGCTTTATTTCAAGAGCCAAATACTGAGAACAACCCTAATATCATCAACAGGAGAATGGATTATCAAATCGTGGTATATTCATACAATGGAATATCCCTTGGCAATAAAAAGGAAAACTATTATTACAAGCAATATTACATTGTAAATGAAAACCAGACCCAAAATGTTATTTATATTAACTCCAAGAACTAATCTAAGCTCTAGAAATATGAAAGTGATGGAGGTGGGAGATTGGAGAGGGGCAGGAGAGACCTTCCTGGGGTAAAGAAATATACTATGTAGGTATTGGCCTGGATGAAGGCTTCATAAGTATGTATATTCATCAAAACTCAAACTGTATACTTAAGACCTCTACCGTTCATAGCAAAAAAAGAAAAAGAGAAATGCAAACAACATTTTAGTAATATCAAAAGATTTC